ATATATATATATATATATATATATATATATATATATATATTTAGTTGATTGATGTTTGTGATCCGGGGTTTCACGCTATTTGCCATCGTCAGACAATCTGATTAACTTTATATATAATATATATATATATATATATATATATATATATATATATATATATATATATATATATCAGGGTGTCCATAAAGTTCGTGTGCATTTTAAAAAAAATTACTTTATTTGTATTTGCAATAGAAATAATCTGTAAAAAATGTTATAAAGTTTAATGTACCTAGTTTTAATATAGGTAAAATAACTAATGTGATTTCAGGCATTACTGTAAATCAGTTGTCATTTTTTTCCGTGAACTGCAAAATCGTATTACCTTTTGTATTGCTAATGATGGAGGACATGTGGAAACTTAAATAAAATTTCAATAAAACTGTAAGAAATATAGATTTACTTCTTTGTAATCCTTTTACAAATTATTTCTATCACAAATACAAAGTGCACACGGACTTTATGGACCCCCTGTATATATATATATATATATATATATATATTATATATATATATATTTCTTTGAATAAAAACAGACCACTTTAAGGTTCCATGTAATAAGTTATTTCACCACAACCCCTTTAACAGGGCTCTGGATCATCAGACTTTACTTCCAAAGGTTGAAATGAAAAATGTTAAAGAAATTCACAAGGTGCAATATGGATAACTAGGTGTATAGTATTATCCTAACATCTACAGGGCAGACGGTAACGTTTACGTTTCAAATTATTCTAGCGGCTATTCGTAGGAATAATTGTTGATCCGAATGAGGTAATGTCTAGCAATTTTATAGTGTTATTTTTTAAATTATTCTCATTAATCAATAATTTGTTGATTTTTATTATTACATTTCCTTGTGTTTATATGTTCAATCGTAGTTATTCTTTCATTATTTACTTTATTTACTTTTTTTTAAGAATTTCACCCTGAGCAAGGCGTGAGTGCCACGAACACCCAAGGGTTTACAGAGAGTGGGAGCAAGAGTAAAGAACTGTGATAGAGGAAACGATAAAGAGAGGGACGGGGAATAGATCAAGTCATCTGGAGATGTCGATCGACATTGCATTTGAATATTTGGAGATTATAGCTATCAGGGAAGCAAGTAAGAGGAAGCTATTGGAGTAGAAGAGACGGCTACATTTAACCGTTTTGACAGTGAAATTGTTGGATCGAGATGTCGACCTAGTGGCACGTGTAAATTCATACAGTTTGGGAACGAGCGAAAGTAGCTCGTCAGAGAAGTTAATGTGAAAGTGTGTGCAGAAAAGACAGAGAGCGGCGACGGCACATCTGTACGAGAGCGTCTGTAAACGAAATGCCAGATCAGGGCCAATCACATTGCATGTCTCTCTCTTGATTCTGCCAAGGACCTTAAGACGAACAGCGGGGGCACCAGATCAAAAATGGCATCTGTAGTCCCTGCAAAGGCAAATGGTTGATTTATAGATTTTAAGGATGGAAAACCAACGTTCCTTGCTGTAAATGAAGCTATTGATCCAATGTATTTGTTCCATCTCCGGTCAGCGGACAGTGTGAGACCAAATCACTTGCAGAGAGGTACTCTGGTGGAGTTTAGCATTAGACATTTTAATGGGATTTAGATTTTTTTCAGGGTTTGTTTAATTCGGAGATTTGGGCTTTGTCTGAAGTATTTTAGATTATCTGCGTTTATATACATCAAATATTTGCATTTTTCATAGAAATAATTTACAAGTTATACGTCTTTTAGCCTTCGATTTTTAAGTAACGTTGTAAAAATCTGTTTTCATATCTAACTTAATAAGCTCTGATCATTTATTCTAGTAACTTTGTCTACGAAGGTGGTTATAACTATTTAAATACTTATAGGTTCAATAGCAATGTAGAATAAACTCGTTAGCCATAGGTGGCAACCGGTGTAAGAGAAGGACATTTCTAAATTTTCAAGCGATTACAAGGCAACATTCCACTATCGTTCCCACGAAGGCATGGCCATTCCAAACTAATAAAGAGAAGAATACACTTCTACTTAAAATGAGAATATATATTTTTTAATATTCAGTAGATACGAAAATATGAAACTTTGAAATACACAAGAGCTGAAAAGTTATGTAAATATATGCATATTAACAGTACCTATATAAATATACTCATTTTATACATACATATATATATATATATATATATATATATATATATATATATATATATATATATATATATATATATATATATTTAATAAAAAAAGACTTAAACACTAATATTCCATGGTCATAATTTATTCCATTGGAATCGTAAATACGATCCAATTCATCAGACCTACAAATTCAAAAAAAAGAAAACAGAAAAAAACAACTCGGAAATAAAAAATAGAATTTAGAGAGAGTGTAAGTATGAGAGTGTGAGACGAATGTTAGAGTTAAAGAGAGGGGTAAAAGTCAAGAGAAGGTGGGAGATTAAAACTTAACAGAGAGAAGTTTTA